ATATTTGAAAGGTATTTATATGAAAAAGTGGACAAACCATGGTCTAAGACAATCTATACTTCTAAGATGTCATGAAGCTATTGTTTATTGTCTTCAGTTGCATGAAACCCATGGTGCTAAATGCTTATAAAAATGGTTGGATATTGTACTGAGGGAAGAAAGAAGTACAGGATTCAGTTCTTATTTAATACTAGTGATGTTAAATAAAAGGAGAAACAATTCATCTGAACACTGAGTGTCTTGCAGTTCAATGCCTAATCCAGCAATGGAATTTAAGTTAGTCATGACTGATTTCCCTTGGGTTCTAATGGGATTTAGTCATGATTAACTTTAGCTGGGTTGGGATCCAAGAGCTTAAACATAGTACAAAATGTACAAAAGCATTGATGTGAACTGTTTACTCACAAGATGGTCTTGCTGCTCACTACTATAAATGCGTGTGATCTGTTAAACAGGTACTTTACATATGCATTGATTGTTCCTGCAATCATGGCACTGCAAGAGCAATATTAGCTGGTGAGATTCCATTCCTTCCATATGATCAATTTAATATGATCTAGGTCTAATTTCTATGACTGTTCTGCTCACCATTTCTTCTGCTGCATCATTATGGCTTCTCTCTAATGCTTTGTATCAAGAGTATCTCAAGCTCTTCTCCACCATGAACTGGTTACGTATCCTGCACTACTGTGAAGAAGGTACAATAAGGATCCATCATTTGCAGCCTTGGAAACTGATGGAGAGCGACGTCATGATTTGCTCCAGCTTGGAGTGAGTTTGAGGCAGAACTGGAACTAGATCTTTCTATTTCTCTGCTCTGCATACAAGAGCCAATCCTCATATATTTATGAAAAAACAGACTTCTCACTAGTTGTGTATTTTATATAATGAAAATAAAGATATTTAGTTGAGAGAGAGACGTTCATAGAGCATTCTGTTTACTTTTACCATCTTGTATTGTCTATAATAAATAACCGGAGAACAAAAGCCACATCTTTTCTGATATTTACTATGTCTCTCATTTAATGGTCTTACCCAAACTCTAATATTTGGTCCCACAATGTAATTAGAAAAGTTACAGATATCTTGGCATGGAGCATAGCAATATAAAACTAGCCTCCAAAATACCCACTCCAAACTGGGTAGTAAAATTCTCCCTGTGGTTGCACAGCATATCTTAACTGGTTTGGGACTACTGGTTTTTTCTTGCTAGTCTTGGTGGGCAGGGTGCTTTTTGAAAACAAGGAACAAAAAGGATATGGCATGATCCAACTAAAGTTAAATGATTTGAAGTCCTAGCAGTTTCAGTAGTGGGGGGAAAACAAGCATGTGCTTAACATTTCTGCTGAACTCAGTGGGACCTGCATGTGATTAACCTTGCCTCAATTGTACATTTGATGTATGGAAAGGAACAAAACGAAGTAAACTTCATTTTGCCCTGTTTGTAGTATGTTAAAATTTCAGCATGACAGTAGGATGTTCTACCATTATCCAAGTCAAGTAAACAATTAAGATTATGTATCTTTTGATCTAAGCATTTTGTGACTCAAAAAGCACTGTTGAGAAATGTTCCATTGCAGGGTTAGCCTGCTGTTTGTCACATCTTTTGATACAAATTTCTTAAGACCTTACATTTCCAAATGTCTAAATCCAAATTTACTGTGTTTATTAAAGATTCATATCCACAAGAAAACAGGCTAAACCTGTGTTGCAATTCAGGCAGAGCATGCTCCCAGAATTCTGGACAATTTCTTGCTTGTAAACAAGTCACTTGTTGGCAGTGGGGCCCATTCTGCCCCAACTGATCTACAAGTTTTTTTTAAAAATCAGATTGCACCCACAAACAGATTTGGATCAAGAGATCTTTCTTGGCGTGCCTGGCTTTGTGGCAGATGCTGTTCAGTAAATGGCTGGGATTTAGGGCCATTTCACCCACTACATTTCAGCATGAAAGTGAATTACATTACAACATGTGCCAGTTGCACAACTGTCTTTTGTATACATGTTCACAGCTGGGAAAGCCACTGCAATTATTAGTGTTTTGATCAATGTGACCGAAACAATACTAACACTACTTTCTTGATACTACCATTAAGGTTTTCTTCTCATGCTGGAATGTGTTTTTTGTCCTCAGTGAGAGAGCATTATCTCCTAACGCATCTTCTTCTTTCTAGACTCTTGGTTCCATTAATGTTACTGCAGTTTGCAAATGAATATATTGTGTGTCACTGGTGGATTATATTTTGGCAATGTGAGTAATTCACATGGTTATATACTGTGGGTGGTTCCATTATGCAGTGACTCTGATAAACACATAATCTACAACTTTGATATTGGAGGGAATTGTATGAAGAAGTCACTTGCATTTTATTTCAAGACAAACACAACGAGGGTATCTTTAAATGAAATTATTTTATTTCATATATTTTACTATTGGCTATGTGTACTACTAAATGTTAAAAATGAAGAACTAATTTGTGATTTTGAGAAAAATGGTCCTATTCCAGACTTAGCTATAATTTATGTTGCACACTAACTTCCAATTCCATGCTTCAAAGAATAAAATGTAATCTGATGAGATCATTAGCTAGTAAAATATCAGTGGCTTCCCCTAAATATAGCTAAACTAGTGGTGGGGAGCATTTGTTAACAAGGAAAAAATAAAATTATGTTAATCTGTTTAGGATTCCACTGTTGGAGATCCTTAAGTTAAACCTTTGGTCCAAGGTATCGAGAAAATGTTAGTAGCTACAAGCTACTCATTGAGTTCTCTGCACATACATGAGGTCCTCTGAAATCTCCATAGCAATTGCAGTGGTTTGTCTACCCATCACTGGTTTAAACCCTGGAACCATTCTTGTTTAAAACACGAGCCTTGTGACTGTAGACATCATTGAGGTGAATCTCTTCCATTCACTTTCTGTTCCGATGGGGGGGGGGAGAGATGACGGACAAAGCCACAGCACTTTCCCAGTTGGCTTTTATCTTCTTTTCTCAAATGAAGTATTGTGTCTTGATGATGTCCAGTAATGATACCTTGGGCTTGCACTACCAGGATCAGTGATTGTGATTTAGCATGTTTCAGTTTGGGTGGAAGAGATGTTTGATTTTAGCTACTTGCTTAGCACTATATTTTCAATATGTGGCAAGTCCAAACATTAAGAAAACCCTTTTCAGAATAGAGTGAGGTATAAAATAAGAAGTCATAACTTTACTATGATAAAACATGATGCTTCAGCTAAAAAATCGTGAGTCACCATGCCTCAGATTTTCAAGCAAGACTTTCAGGTCAATGTCTCTTTGTTTATTCTATACTAGCAGGGCATCTGGTTCATTCCCATAAAACTCAGAAAACTAACTGGGGGATTGTTTGTGAGTGTCTGATTGTTTTATGTATCAATGATCTTCAACCATTGCTTTCTCTTATAATATTTATTTCTATTTGCTTTGTATAAACTAGTTACAATTCAATCAAAGTTTATTGAACGATGTGGAATATTCTACACATCTGATAGGAATAACCCCTTGAACAACCTTTTGGCTAATGCTCCTTCATGCTTCTATGTACAGTGGATGAAAAAGATCCTCACTAGATACCCTCCTAACAAGGGTCTGGTATTCAAATACATATGGAAATCCCTTGGGAAACAGCACAGGGCTGGAAAACCCCAGGAGGTTTTGGAGGGCAAAGCAGGGGAAGTGTCACTGATGTGGCAACATCACTTGTGAAAAGTGACATCACTGCATCAACAATGCTCTAATTCCCCTAAATGTCTATGATAAAGTAGACCCTAGAGATTGGAGCAATTCCTAGAATGTCACTGGCTTGGCAACCCAAAGTAACATTGTCACATCCACAACCTCCCCCCCCCTTACACTCACACACTACCTTTTCCCCGCAGTCCAGTAGGCAAGAACAGGTGGGGCAGGAGGTTTCCCAAAGCCTATTGGAATAGCACCACAGGTTACTGCTGCCGTGAGTCTGTGGTTATATGTGAAGGTGACCTGAGTTTATACAGTAAAGTAGATTATAGGGAACTAGCTTTGTGGCTGTGCCACATGGACCATAGGCCCTTTCTACATGTTGCAGAATTTCTGCAATTTCATTTTCCAGCTATAGTTCTTCATGTTTTAAAGAGGAGCCTCTAAAACTTCACTTGCAGTGCTCCTTGGATACATACCACCAATGATCCCTCTAAGCTGTGGAGTCTTGTGAGCAAAAAATCTACTTTGTGAGCTACTGACATTAAAGTTGTGAACAAATGATTTGGCTACTGCATAAATTCATTTGCTCTGGAGCCATCCTTCCTGAGCTAAGACAAAAATCTGTGGACCGGAGGCTAAAAATCTGTGAGTTAGCTCACACTAACTCAGCTTAGAGGGAACACTGCATACCACTCATGGCTTTTAAAAGAAATTCTAGTAGCTTCTGCAGATTTACACAAAACTCAGTATGTTTTACAGCACTTTTAGTTGCTAATACAAAACTTATTAATAGGCAGTGTCTGTAAATGTGTTAGAAAGCAGAGATATTCTATGTCCAGTTCTTCATGACTACTTAAAAAAAAAGGGCTGCAAATTGGTAATGCCAAAAAAGCTACTGTAAAAAAAGCAGCATTAAGGAATATAAATTAAGTAAAAGGTAATCAGAGATATTCTATGTCCAGTTCTTCATGATTACTTATTTAAAAAAAAAAAAGGTCTGCAAATTGGTAATGCCAAAAGAGCTACTGTAAAAAAAGCAGCATTAAGAAATATAAATTAAGTAAAAGGTAACAGTAAAGGTTTCCCTTGCTCGAGAGCTAGTCGAATCTGACTCTAGGGTTGCAGTGCTCATCTCCGTTTCTAAACCGAAGAGCCAGCGCTGTCTGAAGACTTCTCCATGATCATGTGGCCAGCATGACTAAACGCCGAGGTGCACAGAATGCTGTTACTTTCCCACTGAAGCAG